AATCACCTTTCTTTCCCATTCTGACATTCAATTTGGAGTTCAGGAGATTGTCTTGACCAGGACCACACCCCTAAATGCATTGAAGCAACTGACATGTGATTGGTTGATTAGATAATTGCATTAATGAGAAATTGAACAGGTGTTCCTAATAATCCTTTAGGTGAGTGTATGTCTCCCCTGTAAAACTAAATAAATTTGATCCTAATATACTGGACATGTATTATAAGTGTACCAATCACCAAGGTTCATTGTACCACTGTTTGTGGAAGTGTGAAGAGATTCAAAAGTTTTGGTGCTCAGTGTTAAAATATATTTCTCGGATCACATCTTCCCCTGTATCGTTAAGTCTAAAGGTCTGTATTTTAGGCACTTATCCAGATGACTGTAATTTATCTCATACAGAGAGAAAAATGGTTGACCTTTGCTTACTCCATGCCAAACGTTGTATTGCAGTATGCTGGAAGAATGTTGGTGGCCCCTCTTTTGACCAATGGTTAAACAATGTAACATCAAGTTTAGTTCTTGAGAAACTGACCTATGTAGTTAGGAAAAGATCTTCAGAATTTTTTGACATTTGGAAGATGTCTCTGGAACTATTAAAAAATGGGGAAGTTGAGGAAGTGGATAGAGAGTGAGGTAATGAAAATTGTGACTGCATTTGGGAATGTACGCAGTAACCTGTACTTTTTTTTTGTGTCATTAAAGTTGTTTTTATTGTTTTCTTACTGCCATATGTTCAAGATGTTTAAAGTGTTAGATGTTTATGAATACAAAATCCAATAAATATGTTTAAAAAAAAAAAAAAAAAGAATTAAAGGCTTCCATGACAGTCGCTTCTGTCTTGTCTTTTAACGCGCATGCATTGGCCTTTTTGGAAAACGCATCAATGACCGTGAGCAGATATTTTAACCCATCACTGTACACTGCCAGCCCCTGCATGTCACATAAATCAGCCTGTCACTGATACATGGGTCTCGGTACAAACACTCTGTTCCTTGGAAAACAAAATTCTAGTGAGTCTGTGCAAAGTATAAGTATCCTGCATGGATAGGCACTCAGTGACCTCATCATTGTCAAGTTTCTCCCCCATTTGCTCCTCAGCGGATCTCTGCAGCCTGCACAGGGTGGCTGAGGTTGTAGTACGTCTGGTTTAAGTCAGACTTTAGTCTTTCGTAGTCATACTTTTATAAATGACTTGGGGGTAGAGCAACGGTGGTGAGTTTTATAGGTGGGCGCCGTTTATCACAGTTTTTTTTATTTTAAAGGTTGTACAGAAAATATGCTTTCGAAAGGGTGTAGTTTTTAAAAAATTCTGACACAGAAGATAGTTTTTCAAAAGTGTGTACAGTTTTTTTTTTTTTTTATTCTTTACAGCTGTGACAGTTGTTCAGTGACGTTCCAAGCAATAAGATCAATGCATTGGGTTTTTCAGTGATACGGGCATTGACATGTACAATTAAGGCATAAAATATAAATCTGTGACTACCATCAAATACATTGACAGGAATATAAGACAGACAAGGACATGTGAGACTCCAGAGTTTCTTCTCTTCCCAACACTTGGGTAAGTAATGCTTTTCTGCAGTGATAAGAATCACCGACTCCAGTGATGTCAAATAACAATCTATGAAATCAGCAACATGTGTAATCACCCCTCGAAACATCCCAAAATTCATTTGTTTTCAGGGCAGACTTTTTTATCAAGGCATGCATCAACAGTGGATATGAACTCACGAAAGGCGTTACTAATAGCATTTCCCATTGCGAGCTGGTTTTAGTTGTCAGCCTCCCAACGAGCCAGAAAATCTTCCACAATCGGTTTAAGTACAGAATTGTGTTGAATCACCACCTCTTCCAGTTTAGCAATTTCATACATGCCATCTCGTCACTCTCGTAGATCATAGAAAAAAGCTTCCATGGTGCCCTCCAACCTGTTAACTGGAACTTGGATGTCCAGGGTCTCTAGAACATGTATCAAAGTGGGGATCAGCCGATCAGTCTGGATGTCACGTAGCAAAGAATAAAAGTGGACTTACTGTACAGATCATTTTTTTCAGGCAAAAACAGCAAGGGTGCTGTCATTGACTCGGGTGATTGACCTCACAGCCATAGCAGTGTTTCTGCAGATGCCTGCTGATGAGTATAGCTACAAGCCCCCTTATCAATGCTTTTATACAGGTCAGCATCCCTTGGCACAAGGCCAGTGTGGAAATACAATTCAAATCACCTTGGTCATCCCCAAGGAGCAATCTGCAGACCTTCGTTTGGCGGCCCCTCTGCCCGCTCAGAGACCAGTGATGGAGGTGGAGCTGGAGAATGAGATGCCTCAGACTCCCCGCTCTCATCGCTGGATGATATCATGATCACTTTGTAGCAAGAATCTGTAGGTGAGGCCATAATGTTTATGATGGAATGTAAAAGTATCAACTTTACAGTATATGCAGCTGGTTGAGGTGATCCTTAAATTGTAATTTTTGTGTTTTTACCACCGTTTATCTCCTTACGGGTCTGACTCTCCTTAAACAGTGTGAGGAAATAATTGCAGGAATGGGGTGTTATCTGCATCCAAAGCATGTAAGGTATTTGCATTCCTGAACATATGCATTTTGGGCACTGAGATACATCAACCACCCTCTCGCCTACATGATTGATCAGATCCTGCTTGATAACAGTGGTTCGTTCTCCCCCATTGCCAAAATTTTTATAATGGAACTCCATACCATCAATGTTAGAATAATTGTCGGGCTTGGTGCAACGTTTCATCACCAGCATGATAATAAAAATCAAGTTCTCCCATTCAGCCCCAGCCAGCCTCAGCCAATGCAGGCCGACTATCAGGGGGTCTGTCACACCTCAGAGGACATGAAAGGTGAAAGGTGTCCTGCCGTCATAGTCAAAGACGCAGATCACTTTATCACCGTTGGGCATCTCTCACATAGCTCTCAGGTCTAAATATACACAATGTAAAAAAATACTATTTAAACTGACAGAAATAGCAAGCACCCGTGCACTGCAGTTTATACGCATGTTTAAAAGTGACAACATTCAGCATCAGTCGCAACCTCCATATCACCTGATTTCATCCTGAAATTAAATGATGGATAGACAAATAACATTATTAATCAACTTCCCTATTTCACCCAAAGCTAAAGAACTTAATTTCACATTGCTTAGTGACATACACTTACTGGCCACTTTATTGGAAATATTGCAGTGGAAGTATTGGTGGCTGTAAACCAATCAATTTTGACAGGGGTGGGGCGGGTTTCTGGGGGAAAGCTAGTGCAGCCCAGAGCTGTGTAGAGAGAGATATTTTCCGGAAGTTAGACTGAAAGACAGATGCTCCCCGAATTACGATGGTCCATGGTACGATATTTCAACTTTACGACAGACATTCCAGTTCGATTCTGTTTTTCATTGTCGATACATTAGTCAATAAATTACTTGAGATATTAAACACTAAATTACTGGATTTAGGGAACGTTACCAGATAAGGTTAAAATACTGGGTATAAAGCAACATATAACATACTACGAACAGCCAATTAATTGTAAATTCCATTCTCTTCATGTTATTTCATCCAACATTGTGGAATTAGAGGAAAAATACTTCTAAATGTGATTTTTATTTTTTGCAGGGTGGTGGGAGTTAATTATTAGTAACATACTGTATAATATCAGAGCATGTAATCTCAACTCTCTAGGTTTTGAAAGCTTTTCCCTGTTCCTTATTTTTAATAAACCAAACATTAAGCTTACCAATGGTGTTCTTTGTGAAAATATGTAAATGCAGCATTTGAATATGATTACCTCGCATTTTTTTTGCCCTCCTTAGTTACAGTGAGATTTCTCCTGTTGACTTCAGAGAACTGTTTTTTTCTCCTCTCCATGTCACTAGGAAAACCATGCATCTGTACTTGTTATTCTGAGGGACTGAAGCATCCTCATACAGCAAAGCAAACCATGGTAGGAACTATATGCAAGGACAGCATGGAAGAAAGGGCACAAAGTGGCATGCTATGCATGTCTGAGTTTATTGGTGATTAAGTCATTAAGATTATTTAAGTCAGGGGTGGCCAATCTTATCCGCAAAGGGCCAGTGTGTATGCAGGTTTTCGCTGCAACTTCCTAATTAGGTAACTAATTAAAGGACTGATTGGCTGAAGAGTCCTCACACCTGGGTTTGAACAGCTGACCTAAAGGTTACCCCAAAAAACCTGCATACACACCGGCCTTTTGTGGATGATTGGCCACCCCTGATTTAGGTCCTCAGAGTGGGATTACTGAAACCACCATAAATTAAACTCGTGGCCATAGGTGGAAATTAGCGGGAGAACATTTCAAACTGGATTTAAGGAAGCACTTCTTTACACAGCGTGTAGTCAGAGTATGGAATAGTC